CCAATGGGCTCTGTGAATCACCTTGCATTGTAATACCGCATGTCGCGCACAGATAGACGATGTATGAGTGCGTTTTAGTACTGATATCCATAGATCAGGTTCTATTGTGACTCCAATTTCTTCTGACCAAGCTACTCTTAATCGATCAGTAGTTGCTTTTTGAGCACTTAAGAGAATATTATAGATCTTGGAAATACTGCCTCTTTGATGAGGATTAATATTGAAAATGGAGTCTAGCAGATCAGATGGTGGCACGGTAGGAAATCCAGAAAAACCTTTCTGTGAGAAGTTACGGATCTGTAGGAATTTAAAAAAATGGGTTTTGGGCAAGTTAAACTTGCAAACTAATTGGCTAAATGAGGCAAATATCCCGTCAATATACAGGTCTTTAAAGGACCTAATCCCATAATCGTCCAAAGTCTTAAAGCCAGTGTCAAGGATAGAAGGAAGGAAAGAAGGATTGGAGTGGATTGGAGATATTGGCGAGAGCGTTTGAAGTTCAAATTGACATTTGAATTGAGTACAAATTTTTAGAATATATTTCACTACAATTAGTAGAATGTTTCAGAGGCGACAGAGTTGAAGGCAGACCAAGAAGAGATTTTAATGGAAAGTCACATGAAGCTTCCTCTATCTGTAACCACGGAGGAGGCTGAGTGTTAATTGACTGCCAGTGTAACAGAGCACGAATGTTAGCCGCCCAGTAATAAAATGAAAAATTTGGAAGAGTTAGTCCCCCCTTATCCTTGGATTTTTGTATTATACTTTTCCAGATTCTGGGATTATTTTTATTCCATATAAAGCATGAGACAATACTGTCAAGTGACTGAAAGAAACGTTTTGGAATAAAAACCGGTATGCACTGAAGAAAATGGAGAAACTTGGGAAGTACATACATTAATATACAGTTTATTCGCTCTGCAAATGACGGTGATAAAGTAGACCAGCGATCAAAATCATCAGTTATTTGATTAAGTAACGGAGTAAAATTGTGTCTAAATAAGTTGGAGTGATGTTTAGTTACACAGACACCTAGGTACCTAAAAGACTCGGATGCAATTTTAAAGGGCAGTGTTGTAAAAGAGTAGCTTTTAGCTGCACTTTTGACTGGCATAAGTTCACTCTTACTAAAGTTTAGTTTATATCCTGAAATTCGACTGAATTCTGTCACAATAGTTGTGACAACTCTAAGGGATCTGTCAGGATCTGAGATAAATAAAAGTGATCAAACGCCTTTTCAGCATCCATTGATAGTATCAACTCTGGAGTATCACAAGTGGATGAAGAGTATAATATATCGAAAACTCTTCTGATGTTATGAAAGGAATGTCTACTTTTCACAAAGCCTGTTTGATCAACAGAGATGATATTTTGCAGAACAGCTTATAAACGGTTAGCTAACATCTTGGTCAGTATCTTAGCATCCACACAGAGCAAGGAAATTGGACGATAACTGCTACAACAAAGAGGGGAATAGCCAGTTTAAAGGAAGTTTATTTAAAACAAAAAAAAAAACAGGAAAAAAAGGACCACCAGCGAAAAACAAGCTCCAAAAGGGAACCGGATTGCCTATAGCAGGGAAACACAAAAAAAGAACAGATTAAACACAGCCAACCAAAATATCACAGCACTAAGCCAAAACGCTCACTTGTTACCCACGTCTAAATGACACAACTCTGTCACAGCCTCTTGGCCCACTAGCACCAACACTACTCCTCCTCCATTCATTTTTATACACTTGGTGATGAGGCATGATGGAGATCAGCTGCATGCTGAAAAAGACAGGGAAAAACACATAACAAAGGGCGTGCCCAAACACACAGGCATGTAACACCATTATATAAATTTAGGGCCAAAGCCAAACTGTTGTAAAGTGTAAAACAGAAAGTCCCAATTCACCCGATCAAACGCCTTTTCAGCGTCTAAGGCGATAATCATCTCCTGAGTACCGGCTGAAGAGCGATTATAGAGAATGTCTACAAGTTGCCTGATGTTGAAGAAGGAGTCCTGACCTTTTAAGAAACCTGTCTGATCAGGTGAAATGATTAGTGGCAGGGTCTTCTCCATTTGTAGGGTGAGAACCTTTGTGAGGATTTTTGCATCCCTATTTAAAATTGAAATTGGGCAGTAGGAGTCACATTCAAGGGGCTCTTTATCTTTTTTCAGTATTAATGAAATGACAGCCTGAAACATAGAGGAGGGGAGGGAGTGGGATACGAAAGACTCTTCAAAAACAGATAGTAGTCATGGAGAGAGCTGGGTGGATAATGTTTTGAAAAATTTGGCAGGATGTCCTTCCAGGCTTGAAGATTTCCTGGTCTGCATGCTCTTAATTGCATAGTCTATCACCGAAGTGGTTATTATCCTTTCCAGTTCAGTCACCATTTCCGGATCGATTGATGAAACATTCAGTTTCTTAAAAAAATCCTCCAAGGCTGTTGGATTAGTAGATTGATTTGTGGAATACAGTGACTGATAAAACCTGTAGAAACATGAATACATTTTTGTATTATCTGTATGTTTTAGGGCTTGTTCATAACGTATTTCAGGGATAGCATGAGCAGCTGTTCTCTGGAGCAACTGGTGGGACAGGAGCTTCCCTGCCTTCTCCCCATGCTCACAAGTTACACTGTAATTTAGATGTCAGATATTCAGCTTGTTGGGCTGCTAAAAGATGCTATTCTGCTTGTAAAATCAGTGTTTTCAGTGTTACTGAAGAGGGCGTCTGACTATGTAACAAATCCAACTCCAATATCTGATCTGATCTTTTTTAAGATGTTCATTTTTTACTCTCTGGTGTGCACAAAATGAAATTATTTGGTTTCTTTAATATGTCTTTAGCGCTTCCCACATTATTGATTGGGACATTCCTGGTGTTTGATTAGTACCCAAAAAGACTCTATTTTAGATGTGATAGAAGTCACGAAAGCCTCATTTGAGAGAAGAGTTAGATTTAGCCCCCAAGAATGATAGCTGGACTGTGTAGTAGGGATACATAACGTTAGAGTTAGTGGGTTATAATCAGATACAACTATGGCTTCCTAGTTACATTCCACTATTGACAACAGGAGATTTGTATCCACAAAAAACAAAAAACAATCTATTCGTGAATAGTTGTGTACTGCAGAGAAGAATGAATAACTCAGAGTAGTAGGGTTGTGAACCTCCATATATTAACTATACCATATGTTTTGAGAAAATGTTAAATTGATTGTGCTGATTTGGAAGTAGAAACCTTCTTAGGAGAGCTGCGGTCTAAAACAGGCGAGAAAACACAATTAAAGTCTCCTCCTAGAATAAAGTGATGTGTTGTCATGGTTGGCAGTTTAGAAAAGAATTTGCTAAAAAAAAAAAAAAAGGAGCAGAACTGTAATTTGAAACTTAGAATTGGCTTGAAAGAAAGAAAAAAAAATAGTTAAGCAAGCTAAAATATTGCTGGTATTGCCTTTTTGTCTTAACATAAAGTACATCTTGTCAAATTCACCCTTTAACCCTTTAAGGTAAGTCTTATCAATAGTGAGGATGGAAAGTAAATGCTTTGGAAATGTTACAGTTTTGCTTATTGTGTCCCATCCTCTGTTGTTGTAATGATGTGCTTCGTAATGTAAGCCATGGCTTCGCTTGGGTCCAGGAATTCTTTGTCCGTCCCGTTGTGACTGATACGAAGTCAGGCAGGGAATAATATCCCATAGCGGACACCTATCTGCTCTTGTAGTAGTTTCCTGGAGTCTGTGAATGCAGCTCGTGCCTTAGCCACTCTGGTATAGTGTAATCGGGGAAGAACGCAATTTGCTTTCCTCTGAATGTTAGCATAGCCTGACTTCAAGCCCAGCACAGCACTTACACACAATCTTGGTAGTAATGTAATTTAGCCACAATTACGTATGGCATTCCGTTGGGGTTCTTAGGTGTTAGGCCCCGATGTGACCGATCCACAAGAATGTCCCTTCCATATCCTCACATTTGTCTTTCAGCACCTTCAGCTCTTTTGTCAAGGTGGTTACAGTAGTTTGCAATTTGGCCACTTCATCCGACCATGTCGATATGCCACCCTCCATGTCTTTTATAGCAGCCTTCATTTGGTCAAGCTCATTTTGAGCTCGCGCCGTGTTGTTTGCTAACTCCATGACTGCCTGGAGCTCGTCTTAAGATAGTTGAAATCTTCAGTAAGAGATTTTTTCAATTTGGCTCTTATGACTGCAAAAATGTCCTCTTTTAAAGTCGAAAGGATCTGGGACTATTGATCTTCTGTACCCATTTCTTCAGAGTCCGTAAGGGAAGGGTTGAGCACACGGTCCCGGTTAGCACTTGAACTCTGCCCGGAGGAGGCAGTGGGCCTGGTGTTAGATGGTCTGCTGTTCTTATATTTCCTGAGAATACCTTCCATTACTGTGTGTAAAACCCGCACTGCAGCTTTGTAGGAGCGCTAGTGAAATGAATTAACCTTTTCGTTTGTAGATCAGCGCTGTTTTTTGTTTTTTTTTTTAAAGGGAAAAGCTGTGCAGGAGCTCAGCAAAAAACGTCTTACTCCATTATTCACTCTCTAGCGCCCCGAAGGTGCATTTCTGATTCTTTTCTCTGGTGTGTCCATGTTTGTTTTGATGAACTTCCTGCCAAATGCACCAGGAAATAAAACATCAGCACCATCTAGTGGACCAAAAAAGCAATGGATTGTATTATTCTAGAACCAAAAGTTGTATTAAAATGTGTATTTGCAATAATCAATAATGTGTATAATAAAAGATTGATACATGGAGTCCGTTTATCAATACAATATCGCCATGCAAAATATCGTGATAGTATGCTGTATTAATTTTTACCCCCACCCTTAATTGCTGTGGTATTGATGGCATTGCAAACAGACAGATTGATTAAGAATCTTGCTAATATATTCTTACTAATTCTACATTTTCACACCCAGGACTGTTGTGATCTTTTTCACAGCATTAACATAGGATAAATTGATCGGTGCATGTTGATATATTTTTTTTATCTTGCAGGAGCTGCACAGTAGCGTGTCAGACATAGTAGAGGACATCCTGACAATGCATGACACAACAAAGGTGAGACACAACTCTTGTTGGCAGAATCAGTGATGTCAGCACCACTTTATACTCAATTACAGCTTCAACCTGCTTCGCCTTCATATAGTTCCACTGACTGTCACTGTGAGCTGCCCTGTACACTGATAGCAACATTCTAGTCACCTGGTGTCTTGTCTTACCCCTCAACTATTTTCACCCACAGCAACATTGCAGATGAATACATTTTCTTCCACCCTTTTAAGGTCTCAAAGCAGTGTATATTTGAGAATTGTGAATCTGAGTGTGCTGTCCATTGTGTTTTTGACTCCTCACCAGCTGGGTCACCTGACCCTGGAAGACTACCAGATCTGGAGTGTGAAGAGTTCTTTAGCCAATGAGTTCTTAAACCTGCTTTTCCAGGTCAGTTCACTTACATTCTGTGCAGTAGTTGTAGAACTTGTGTTGAAATTGAAATGCAATGCTAATCATCATGCTTTTTTGTACATGTTTGTGTGTTGTTTTGTGTCTTGGTCCAGGTCTGCCACATAGTCCTCGGCCTGAGACCTGGTACTCCTGACGAGGAGGGACAAATCATCAGGTGTGTACCTGTCCTCTTCATCTGTTGTGTGATTGTATACTACTTTGAGGAATATGCTGTTGGACCCAATCAGTGTTTTCCATTGTCTTTGTGCTTTTCTCTCTGTTTGTGTGCAGGGGTTGGTTAGAAAGGGAGAGCAGACATGGGCTGCAGCAGGGTCAGAACTGGTTCCTCATCTCCATGCTGTGGTGGCAGCAGTGGAAGGACTACGTTAAATATGTGAGTTAGGTTAAAGAAGACAAAATGTGTTGATCTAGATGTGCATTTATATTAACACAACAAGCCTTTTGATCAGGCACTGTACTTAACAACATCATAGGTAGTGTTGCCTAACATGCAGTGCATTGTTGTAAAGGACAATTCAGGAGTACTTAGTCTCTGATTACAACTTTGTAAAATAAAAAATGTATTGGTATTTTTATAGCTAGAACTTATTAAAGAAATTTGAAAACAAGTCTCAAAGTATCTAACTCAGGTATATGATATCTGACAGGTTTGTGACAAAGTTACTGTCCACCACTACTACTAGAGATATAGGCTATAGATTTCCTAGCCTAATATTCAGACTGAATTGCCATTTTGTTTTCTTTGTCTGGCATTGTGTACATGTTAGCCATTGACTGTTCGGGAGGATGTGTTATTTTGCGCTAACCGATCTGTAATGACTGACAAGACATCATTTTTCAGTCCACACAAAGTGGTTAGCGGCATCTGTTGCCAGGAGCAGTTAACATACCGATCTATACATTCTGATCAGTACCGATTGCTACTGCACAGGTGTAACTCAACAGAAATAAGAAGGAGGTGAGATGGCTCACTTGTTGGCTACTTCTTGACACAGTATGTAGTTTACATATTTTGTCTTACTGATATGTCAGATTTATGTATACTGGACTGTTCGGAGGTTGTTTCTGGGTCGAGTGTGGCACTGGTCTATTTTCGTAGTTTTATCAACTTTTTTTTAATGGTGTGTCCCACTTTTCTGTTCACAGATGTCAGTGTTATATTTCAATAATGCCCAAGCGGCAACTTCTGAGGCTGAAAGTTTAATCCAGTGCGGAAGTGCCAACAATTGCAGATTATCAAATGACCACTTGAGGCTGACTCCAAAACAGAGGAAATCCCCATAGACCCCCATGTTAAAATGCCCAACTTTACAGCAGAAATAAATTTATAAATAAATATATATAAATATATATAAATACAGAAATAAATATGTTTGTTACAAAAATCAGTCTCAGTCTCTATAGCTAATTTCAACATTCATAACAACTGTACGGGGGTGAATATTTATATAACTCATCTGTTTACATTTTATTAAGGTTTAGACTTGTGCATATTTAAGGGAAGTGTCACTACAGTCTGAGTCCGATCCACCCCTTGCTCCTCTACATTTCATAGCCTGGTAAGACCATCCTGATGACATGAGCTCAACATTCTGTTTTGCTCGCTGTATCAGTCTGGACTTGGTGCTGCGCCAAACACGAAATTAAAGTCTAATCAGGGCCAATCAGAGATCCACACCGTAGCTGACAGCCTAAGGAGGCAATCAGGGACTGCATTGTAGTTGATGACGTAAAATGTCAGGACGCAGCTTGCAGGATGGTAATAGCAGCTCCTGAAGCACTAAATGCTTACTCTAACATTAGTAGAGTAAACACAGCAATAAGTGAGTTATTGCAGAAATAGAGTCAATAACAACGATTAAACAAGAACAAGAGTATGCAATCGCTGAGTTTCTCAGAGGAAAAGACGTTTTTGCCTTTCCTCTGACTGGATTAAGCAAAAGCTTGATTTATCAACTGGCTCGGCTGGTGATGAAGAAGACGTCAAGGCGAGAACTCCCACCCAATGAAAGTGTCTGAGGCAGCACCGAGTCCAGACTGATACAGAGAGCAAAGCAGAATGTTGACCTTACGTCATCAGGATGGTCTTACCAGGCTATATAGTTCAAGCATCTCCTCCAAATATGGTCACTCCTGGCTCTGAAAAACCAAGATAGTGACAGCTGAAATGAGGAACACGAGTCTTCAAAATGAGAGTCCACAAACCACTGTGTGACATTACGGTAGCTACGTCCATTATGTTATACAGTCTATGTTTATACCACATTTGAAGTGCCATTGGTACAGACTTGAATAATACAAACATATCTGTTTATGAGACCAGGTTTTCTGCATCTTGCCATATAACATCACACTGTGACAGAAGCAGTGGCTGTGAAGAAAGCAAACACCACATTTATTACAGATATCACTTTAAACAATGACAAGACAGTCCCTGCTGTTGTCTCCCTGTCCAGGAGCATAAGGGCATCGTGGTGGAGCAGCCGTCCATCCTGAGCTCATTGAGAACTCCGATGGCCACAGCCACTATAGAGCCCACCCCACCAGACAGACTGGGAGGACTGGGAACCTTCAGCCCAGTCAGCCCCACTGAGGAGAGGTCACCTGATGCTGTGTCCAGCGCCTCGGAGGCCACAGAGACTGGTCAGTCAACATATTTCACACAACAGTAGACAGCATATAAAACAAAAATACAAAAATATTTCTGACTGCTGCTGGTGTACTGTACATCTTAAAGGAATAGTGCACCCAAAAATGAAAATTCAGCCATTTTTTTACTCACCCTCATGCCGAGGGAGGCTCTGGTGAAGTTTTAGAGTCCTCACATCCCTTGCGGAGATCGGCAGGGGGAGCGGCTCGCACACCTAATGGCTGATGGCACCCCAGACTAACGTCCAAGACCACAAAATATCTCCAACATGCTCATCTGTAGTGATCCAAGTGTCCTGAAGCCCCGACATAAAAAGTTGTTTCGAAAAACGTCATATGAACTCTGTTTTTAGCCTCATTGTAGCCTGTAGCTCTGACTGCTTCTCTGTGCTCCGTGCTCACGTGTAGAACTACAGTAGAAATGAATGACTTACTCCCCTGAAAGCCTGCCATCTGGTCCTGCGGGCCTCTGTCTTTTCTTCCAGTTGATCTTGGGGAAGTAAAAAAAATGTCTCCAGAACACCACGGGTCAGTAGTGCTGGAAACTCAGGGTGATTGGTGATGCACGGTCTCTGAAGAGCAGCAGTCTCGTCAGTACTGATGTCCAGATTCTCAAGTGCAGGCATCGCCTATTCCCAGTCTGAGCAGCAAAGACTTTCCTCATCCATTGGCATTGCTTTGCATTTGAAACAACTACACCACCAGGTTCTCAGTGCTCGACTCCAGTATTCTGCGGCTGGCTGAGGGTTAGGCTCATGAGCTGCGGCGGCTGCTTCGTCCAGTAGCCTGAGTTCCACGTCCGTATATTTGGGCTCAAACAAATACGGCTCAACAAAGAAATGCTGTTCCTCCTCAATTCCAAAGGTTACTGTTGTCTCTCCCTGCGGTGCACGTGTCACGTGATGTAAACACGGGTAAGCAAAGCACTTGCTTTCGCTGGTCTCGCGCAAGCACGCACACGTGAGCGCGGAGCACAGAGAAGCAGTCAGAGCTACAGGCTACAGTGAGGCTAAAAACAGTTCAAATGACGTTTTTCAAAACAATTTTTTATGTTGGGGCTGCAGGACACTTGGATCACTACGGATGAGCATGTTGGAGATATTTTGTGGTTTCAATTTTGTGTTCTTGGACGTTAGTCTGGGGCGCCATCAGCCATTGGGTGTGCTAGCCGCTCCCCCTGCCGATCTCCGCAAGGGATGTGAGGACTCTAAAACCTCCCTCCCAGAGCCTCCCTCGGCATGAGGGTGAGTAGATAATGACTGAATTTTCATTTTTGGGTGCACTGTCCCTTTAAAGAGGCAACAGATAGGATTCGGTATTTTTTTTAGCTTGGCGCCACCTAGCGTCAGTGGTGTTGCTCGCACTGTCGCAACGACCATATTGACCATGGGGATCAGAGATTATCAAGAATATGTAGGCTGTAAAGCCACTGGTATACCTCTCTGTATATGTAGAATGAGAAAGTGTGTGGACACTCTACTAAATAAATGAGTAACAACCAAGCAACAATTATCAGATTTATCTGAAGAAAAAACAAATAGTAATGCAAATAATTATACCAGAATGCACAGTACCAGTACAAACAACTCACAGTAAATTATACCAATATGTACAGTATCAGTACAAACAACAGTAGACACGTAAGGGATAATGTATAGTGAGCTGGTGACTGTTGAAAAAAAACTCCTGACAGGGGAATGGAACCCCAACGCGCAGTTATTTTTCAGCTGTGACCGGCTCACTATACATTATCTGGCTTAGAACATGGCTTACTACTAAAACATTCAAATGTTACAACTGGCATCAATATTATTAAATTGCTGGCAGAGTGTATTGACAGAGGAGAGGCGTTCACCAGACAAACGGGAGCGGAGGAGAGGATTTTACTCCACTTCTCCCGGTCGGAGATGCTGGGTGCCCAGTAGCTGCGAAGGCTGCCCTCACATTTATGGCCAGTGACCGACATGATCTCCCTGCTCTCCAGGCCAGCTTGGGAGAGCTGTGTGGACTAACGTTTACTGATTTTGATGCTTCTCAGTCTAAGGCTGTTGCAGTGAAAAGTCCAGTGTTCACAGCTGGGCGTAATTTAGCTGGGCGATGTCCGTCGATAGCTGCCTCCGTGAGAAGAGAACAGAAGGAAGGGAGGGGGGTACCACTGTCCGAGGGCTGCCATAGAATGGCAACGAGGATGTCAGCCGACCAACACTCGCTACCCGGTCCCTGGTGGTGGCGATTTGCGATGCTGGCCAGTTAGGAATTAACTAGCAGCCAGTACAGTACAGTCCTCTCTCGTATAGCTAACATTTAGCCGTGTTACTTACTGATCCATTAGAAAAAACGCTTGACTGAAGTTTACTCTTGTTTTTCCTCTTCTTTTATCACTGTCCTCTTCTTTGCATCCTCAGACAGAGGAGCTTGTTTTCTTTCACTAAGCCGTTTTTCACTTGTCCCCAGCATTTGTCCGTCTGCCATTGTGCTTGTGACTCAACTATCTCATGCCCAACTCCTCATAAGAACCAGCTCCAGTCCCTGATTGGCTGGCTGACCAGTTTCGCAATACATGATGCGTTTCCTGCCGTAAAGCAAATTTTTTCCGCAAAATTTTGCCCCCGGTGGCAGGAGATTAATACAAAGATTGCAAAGCCACTAAGTAACCTATGTAAACGCTGATAGTCTGATTTTACTGTAGCCACTACCCTGTGCAACCCACATTATTTTCATAATGATATATTTAGGAAAAGATGGTATCTGTTGCCTCTTTAAATGCATCTGCTGTTTTAATTTATTAATGCATTTAAAAGCTTATTTCCAAGTACAATGTCCAAAATATAAAAAAGAAACTCAGAGCAGCACATTGATGAGTATCACATCACTGTTGTTGCACTCATAAGATTAGTGCTGAAGAAACATTAATAAATTACCACCGCCCTCAAGTTAGGCCTTTTTGGTAACTGTCCATTATGTACAAAGTGATTATTATTTGAGAATTTATTGTATAGTATTCACCCAACCTTTATCAATGACTGGCTTTTATTTGTTCATGCCAGTCAAATCTCATGAATTTTGACTAAAACATCCCAACCTGACAACAGACTGAATTTTAACACTATCTGTTTGTGTTGATGCGTGATTTCATTTTACCCTCTGTGTGTGTGTGTGTGTGGCTTGGTCACTCACTCTCATCCTTTCTGTCCCAGCAGCCCTGAGCCCCCAGGTAGCTCCCTCTGCTACAGAGAGCTGTTTTGCCCGTCAGCACAACATATCGGACAACAACAATCAGTGTTTTTCTGGAGCCAATGGCCAACTCCCCTCCCAGCTGGCAGCACAAAGACCTGGAGCCATTGACAACCAGCCTCTGGTCAATACGGACCCCATGAAGGCAAGGATATGTGCATGTGTGTATTGTATGTGTGATTTCTAAACATGAGCAGTGCAAAGTCTATATGTGGTTTGCATGTAAGTAATGAAAAGAAGCAGACAGTCCCACACAGAGTGTCCAGCTTATTTATGGTGTATAGATGTTCACATTTAAAAACACTTAAAAATCCTGTCTCATTTTGGTCATGGTTATATCAGTCTTTGCTGCAGCTCTCAAACTGTATTTTGAATCGACTGAGCCAATTTACATTGCAGTGTGGTCAGGCTGAAATTGTAATTGAAGATGGGTCAGGTGAAAAAATCAAGAGCTTTAAATCATCAATATATGATTTAAAATCAATCAATAAAAAATGGTAAGCAAAACTAGTTATAAATAGAGAACAAATGTCGCCTTTATTCAATGAGATGGTCTTAAATTACCCAGGACCCAGGAATTTTATTGTTTGTTTTTAAAGCTCTTAATGGCCTAGCCCCCCAGTACTTGACTGAGCTCGTTCGTATTCATGCCCCTGCCAGAACACTGAGATCCTCAAATCAGCTGCTACTGGTCACCCCCAAAACGAGGCTAAAAACCAAAGGGGACCGAGCCTTTGTGGCGGCGGCCCCTAGGCTCTGGAACAACCTGCCCTGGCACATCCGCTCTGCAGGATCGATTGAGGTTTTTAAATCCTCCTTAAAGGCTCACCTCTTCTCCCTGGCTTTTAATCGAGCTTAAGTGGACATCTGGCAAAATCTTATATAAAATTTAATTTGTTTTATTCTATTTTATTTTATTCTATTTTATTGCACTCTGTTTATGTATTTTAGTATTTATTTTAGTTGCGGCAATGTATGGGTTACGTTTAACATCCATGCTGCTTTTAATCTGTACAGTACTTTGGTCAACCCCAGTTGTTTTAAATGTGCTCTATAAATAAAGTTTGAGTTGAGTTGAGGACTTTAATTTTAAAACAGCACTAATTATGTTTTAAGCACAACCCCAATTCCAAAAATGTCAAAACATGTAAATCCTTTTTGACAGTTCAATTGAATACAGTACAATGACAAGATATTTAAAATTCAAGCTCATAAACTTTATTGTTTTTTTATAAACATACACTCACTTTGTGAAAAACTTTGTGGGCAAACAGTCAAAGAGTTTGAGAACATGCTTCTCAATGCAAGGACTTAAGGGATTTCACCATCTACAATCCATAATATCATCAAAAGATTTAGAGAATCCAGAGAAATCTTTGCACATAAGGGGCAAGGCTGAAAACCAACACTGAATGCCTGTGCCCCTTGACCTCTCAGGCAGCACTGCATAAAAAAACAACAAGACAGGAACACTTTGGAAAGCCATTGTCAGTAAACACAGTTCGTCCCTGCATCTACAAATGCAAGTTGAGACTCTACCATGCAAAGTGAAAGCCGTATATCAACAACATCCAGAAACACTGCCAACTTCTGTCACCCAAACTCATCTGAGATGGAAGGACACAAAGTGGAAAAGTGTGCTGTGGAGTCCACATTTCAAATTACTTTTGTAAATCATGGACGTTGTGTCCTCCAGGCTAAAGAGGAAAAGGACCGTCCAGACTGTTACCAGCTCAAAGTTCAAGGCCAGGATCTGTGATGGTATGGGGGTGAGTTGGTGCCCAAGCCATCATGGGTAACTTGCTCATCTGTTAAGGCACCATGAATGCTGAGAGGTATACAGGTTTTGGAGCTACATATGCTGCCATCCAAACTACGCCTTTTTCAGGGATGTCCCTGCTTATTCCAACAAGTCAATAAGACACATTCTGCTCATGTTCAAACAGCGTGGCTTCCCTAGTAAAACAGTGCAGGTACTAGACTGACCTGCCTGCAGTCCAGGCCTGTCTCCCATTGAACATGTGTGGTACATTGTGATGCACAAAATATCACAACAGAAACCCCAGACTGCTGAGCAAGTGAAGTGGTATATCAAGCAGAATGGGAAAGAATTTATTTCGATCGTGGGTCGTGGTTACACTGCTGTCGTGGTCCTGCTCGTGGTCCTGCTCGATGCTGACTACTACTGCTATTATTATGATTATTATTGTCACATACATATACTGTCATATTTTAATATTTACTTATAACATATATGCTACCAAAATACTACTACTACTGTTATTATTATTATTACTACTAAAATCAATGTTATCGTTGCTATTATTATTAGTGTCTGCCCTGCATCTCTCTCTGTCTCTATCTATTTCTGTTTAATTTTGTCATATGGGTTACTGTAAATTTATTATGTTGATGTTCTGTACACATGACATCTATTGTATGTCTGTCTGTCTTGGAAGAGGGATCCCTTCTCAGTTGCTCTTCCTGAGATTTCTACCTTTTTTTCCCGGCTAAAGGTTTTTAGGGGAGAGTTTTTCCTTATCCGCTTTGAGGGTCCAAGGAGGGATGGAGGGATGTTGTATGCTGTAAAGCCCTCTGAGGCAAATCGTGATTTGTCATATTGGGCTTTATGAATAAAATTGAATTGAACTGAATTGAATTGAATTTCACTTTAAGAACTTCCACAATTAGTGTCCTCAGTTCCCAAATACTTACTGAGTTTTGTTATGAGGAGAGGTGATGTACCGAAAATCTGTACTCAAGTAAAAGTACAATTACTACCATAAAAAATTACTCAAGTAGAAGTAAAATTACTATTTGAGAAACCTACTCAAGTAAAAGTAAAAAGTACCTCGTTAATAATTTACTCAAGTACAAGTTACTTTCCGTTTGAATATTTTTTAGGGTGTGCGGACCAGTGCAAAACTAATGAAAAAATAGCACTTGTTGATAAAACTTTTTTTAATGAAGCAGGTACCAATCTTCCACTCTCCATCTCCTTCACTCTACCCCTCTTTTCCTCACCTAACCTCTTCTTTCTCCATTTCCCTATCTGTAATTTGAGTGGATGACCTTGCTTTAAAAACAGAACTGACATCCCAACTTCTTTGTCTTTTCTACGTCTTTTTTTCTGTGAACAAAATTAATAAAATCCAATAAAATAAATAAGAAACCATTCAATATATGGTACTTCAATATGCTTGCTGAGATTCGACGATGAGTTTTTGAAAGCAAGGATCTCCTGATTTTTTGGCAGGCACAGGACGCACTTCATCGAGTAACTGTGCTTTTTTATGGATTTTGGCGCAAAAAATGTGGCCAGGGATGGGTGATGGCAGCTCCCGCTTGCTCTTCGTTTCGACCTGTCTCCGACAGGATCTTCGCGATCAGGGTCAGGTCAGGAGTGGAGGACTGGTGCTTGCTTGTTCAGCGGGCTCAGAACATGGCACTTTAGTAGAGTTGGAATAATATTCGAATTTATTATTATTATTTATTTATTTATTTATTTATTTATTTTTTTACAAAAAAACCCCACAAAAAATAAGATGCTTATTATGCTTATTAATATGAACATGACACTCCAATGAAAACATCCGTTCTGACCTCACTGAAGTGCCAGGTATGACCAACTTCTACCTCGCTATCAGCAATGTTTGGATACTTCAGTGCACCTGTAGTTTTCCACTACAAGAGTGGATCCTGGTCGGCTCGTAGTGGTGTCTCATTCTGGTAACGTTTCATCTCTTCTTCAAAAAGGGTAGACAGGGAGGAAGCAGGTGCAACACTCACCCTGTATGTCTTCCCAAACAGGTCACACATCCCGGACAGCGCAGTGGGTGGTGTTGGCGCAGCGGGCTCCTCTGTCGGCACCTCTCCTTCCTGCTGTGCGTCCCTCTCTGGCCCGGCTTGTGCGCGAGCCATCTCCGCCCGAACGGGATTCGCCGTGATATACATTATCAATAGTTTTAATTAATTATTAATGATATTCGAATTATCAAATTTAGGTTCGAACTTATAAAAAATATATATATTAGAATATATTTGGAACTTCAATTTTTTTTTTGACAGCCCTAGAGCAGACTAGTTGTAACGAAGGTAAATGGCAAATGTAGTGAAGTAAAACGTAGATTACCAGCTCAAAAATATACTTGAGTAAGAGTAGAAGTACAGTTTTAAAAAAGGAACTTAAAAAGTACTCATTCCTCAAAAAAACTACTTTTTTACTCACGTGCATTACTTGTAACGCGTTACTACCCACCCCTGGATGTCACACAGTGGTAAACCTGCCCCTGTCCCAACTTTATCATAATGTGTTGTACATGTCGTTGTATAATGTTGTTGTACTGTATTTAATTGAATGTAGGTCAAAAAGGATTTGCAAATCATTGCATTCTTTTTTTATTCATGTTTTACACAGCGTCCCAACTTTTTTGGATTTGGGGTTATATTTAAAACATAATTAGTACTGTTTTAAAATCTACAAGTCCTGGGTAATTTGAGACCATTTCATCGAATAAAGACTGCATTCGTTCTTTCTTCATGACTAGTTTTGTTTACATTTTTTTATTGATTGATTTAAATTATATATTGATGATTTACAACTCTTAATGTTTTCACCTGACCCATCTACCCCAAAAGAAAGACAAACTAAACATACCCAGATGTTCTTTAAGCTAATACTTAAGCATTTTGAAAATATACCTGTTTGCTATATTCCTGAGAGTGAAACAAGAAAATCACTCATATATCTAAGTGCAGAGCTGGAGTCAGGACAGCTTAGCCAAGCTAAGCCAAAAGTCGAAACAGGGTAAAACAGTAAGTCTGGTTCTGCTCAAAGTTAAAATATATATCAACCAACCTTCTAAAGCTCACTGAGATCATTGAGCTCTAAAGCTTAATTACTATATGTTTTTTAGTTTGTTCAACCCATACATTAATTAAAGGTAAAAGCACCAAAATCTAAACTTGTGCTCAACAGCTGTATCTGGCATCCTGCACTGTAGCTGGAGACTGCAAAGAAGAGCAGCAGATGTGTACATAGTTGTCTGTCAAGAAATGGCTGCATTTCACATATCCTTTTATATTTCTGTTCATCTGCAGGTTAAAATAACAAGCTACTTTACATTTTGTTAATTAGATTGGATAAGCTTTAGAGTTTTTGGTAAGTAACTATGGACAGAGCGAGGCTAGCTGTTTCCCCCTGCATCTAGTCTTTATACTAAGTTAAGTTAGACTCTAGCTTTATACATAGAGATATGATAGTGGTATTAATGTTCTCATCTCGCTTTCAGGGACAAAGCATATAAGTGCGTATTTCAAGATGTGGCTTTATAAGTAGAGAAAACTAATATGATTTGAGAGAAATGTGCGTATTTAAAGGGAAATTTAGGTTTATTTCAACCTGTCTCCTATCGTCCTAAATTTGTTTCAAGTGACTAGTGACATAAAAATAATAGTTAGCATGTTAGCCGTTAGCCTAGATACAGCCAGGGCGCATAGTGGCGTCAGACCTGTTAAAACGTAAGTGAACGGGCAATCTTCAAGTGCAAAGTTAGTCCACTAAACAAGCTTTTTTTCCACAAAGACCGCCTCATATCGTTAGGATAAATGTCAGAGAACATGTAGAAAACGACACGTAAACGTGTTTTCTTACCTTACCGGTGTGCTGCCATGTTTATTTACCCCTTTAGCGCTGCTTTCCATAGCACAGCCGAAATATCGCGAGAACAAGCAGCGATCTCATAGCATGCCTGAACAAGCAGCAACAGCTGGAAGGCAGAATCGGACAGTAGCCTGAAAAGTTCATTCATTTATTTTATGAAAGATTTATAGAATAATGGCTGACTTTTTGCCAGACTTCCACTTTGTGGAGGAGGAATTTGATTTTGCAGAGTTTGATGGCCGCCCTTATTTATTTGAGCCAGAATACACTGACGAAGAGCTTCGTGAAACTGAAGAACGGAGGAGAGAGAGAGAGGCGCAACAGGTAGAGGATGAGAGAGGAGGAATGGCTGCTGCAAGGCTGCGTAGCTCTGGAGATTGGTGGTGTACCTGTGAATGCTGTGCCCCAGTGCCCACAGAAGAGGAATGCCTCTGTTGCAAGGAATGGGACCGGTTGCAGCCTTATTTTCAAGGTCTGGATGTGACCGAGGACGAGACACCTCCACCTGGAGTAGTATCCAGCTGGGCTTTATCTAGAGCTCGCGAGATTTATTTCGGTCACGCTTTGGAAAGCAGAGCTAAATGGTAAATAAACATGGTAAGGTAAGACAACACGTTTACATGTTGTTTTCTATATGTTCTCTGACATTTATCCTAACAATATGAGGCGGTCTTTGTGGAAAAAAAGCTTGTTTAGTGGACTAACTTTGCACTTGAAGGTTGCCCGTTCACTTACGTTTTAACAGGTCTGACGCCACTATGCGCCCTGGCTGTATCTAGGCTAACGGCTAACATGCTAACTATTATTTTTATGTCACTAGTCACTTGAAACAAATTTAGGACGATAGGAGACAGGTTGAAATAAACTGAAATTTCCCTTTAAGTAACAAAGGGCTGATGTATAAAAACATTGTTGTTCAGTAAAAGGGGCACATTTATGGAACACTTGTAATGTGGAGTTTATAATTAATACTTTGTGAATAAAATACATGTTTAAAAATAATTAAATGACCAGATAAAATAGACATAGAATTTTGTCATTAGGGAGGACTGGGTGTAATAAGCGTAGCTCCAGCCTACACCCTTTCAGTCTGTAAAAAAGAATATTTTCCTGTTGTGTTTGGATTAATTGTTTTGTTTGGAAGATTGTGTAATTCTTTGCAGATGAAAATATATTTCAGTTTCAGTTCCAGTCTTGACAACCTGGTGGTTAGATCAGAAAAGCCACATACAGTCAGGAGGTGATCATGTAGCATGGATTGTGCATCATGTTCACAACTATGCTTTGGCATATGTTTGACATATGAGAACAGTAAAGCTACTCAGTCTCAGAGATAATCTGTCCACAGGAATCAAACGGCTGCTCTAAAGCCATGCGTTTGAAAAAAACAGATGTGATCCAGACCTTTGAAAGACAATACATGCAGTATTCACAGTGTGTTTATCTTAACAGCATTTGCAATGTTTGTCAGATATAAAACAAGACAACAGAGTGTTAGGAGAATATTTTTGCCAGCTTCTTTCAGTTTGACAGAAGAAATGATCTGAGATTCCTAATTAGGAGGCACTCCCCTTCTGCTGGCAAAGGCTCTCAGGGACCAGATGGTGCTTCCTTTTTCCTTTGTCTTTTCTCTACATTATTATTTGTCTGTGTTGTGCCCCTTCAGGCTCCTACGTTAACCATGGAGGGTGGTAGGCTGAAGCGTTCCTTGCAGCTGGTGCCTGGCAGAGACTTTGAGACGGTGCCAGAGCCGGTGTGGCGGGCACTCTACCACTGGTACGGTGCCAACCTCAGCCTGCCGCGACCAGTGAGTGAATACAGCCTGTATTGGCAACCTGTGGTTAAAAGTGTTAAAATGTCTATCATAACTGATCAGTGATTATTGAAATATTATTAATTATCTATGAAACTATCAATTTGGAACTCTGATTAATAATTGAAATAATAACTAACCATATAAAGAATAAAGATTAAAGGTACGGTCTGGAGGATTTTCTAGTTGCTGTTTGTAAACACACATTCAAATTCGGCCCCTCCTATCAGGCTCGACTCTCCCGGGTGTACAGAGCCCAGAGGTACAGAAGAAGGCTTCACAGAAGAGGTTCAGGCAAGGCTCACGCTGGTGCACGCTCGGACATGCTCGGACACGCTCGGGCACGGCACCTGTGCTCTCTCATTGGCTGGGGAAATCTCAACCCAGAAGCGGTCCGAGCTCACAAAAACATCAAAATACAGTTAAAGGGCAGGAGCTCTGCAAACAGAGTCACCACCACACGAGTAGAAGCCCATAGGTGATGATTAAGCAGGATTTCATTTGTATATGTCTATATTTTGTTTTGTTTGAAAATCCTCCAGATCCTACCTTTAAAGGATTTTTGAGTTCTTGACGAAGCAGAGGATGGCACATGTAAAAAAAAAAAAAAAAAAAACTGCAACCTGCAACTATGTGTTATGTTTGAAGTGTGTATGTATGCATAAGAATATATGCATATGTGGAGGTGCAGGGTTAGTAAAGTTGCATGCAAGACCCTGGGTCTGTGTGAAGCAATAGTATACAAGCATCTACTTAGCTTTGGCTAAGCCAATCACCCAATGTCCTGACTACACAAAAATCACAATAACAATAACAATACACACTCACACTCACAATAACACTCACTAATTAACAAATAATTACACGCTATACATACATCAGGGTCAGTAACCTTGGGCATGCGTGCCACCCTTTGGCATGCTGTAGCTAACTAATGGCACACTAGCAATAAGTAAGCAAGAATTTTTTTTAAATGTTGAAGTGCAGGGTTTTGCCACACATTTATCTATTTGTGGCAGCCCATCAAGATAACATCTGCTGTCATGTGTTGATTTTCTAGTTTTGGAGCTGGGTCATTCATTAGGAGCACAGCAGGGATGTATATAGTCCACAGAAAAACAGAATCATCGCAACTTAAGCATTTCACTGGATAGGAGTGTGGATGAGAATGACATGCCACGTTTGGTGGTCATAGCATTTTAGGATTGAGTGATGGACATTATATTACAGGGTTCAACGCTAAGGTTTTTTTTTCACTTGCCCAGTCGGGCAAGTTGGTCAGCGATCTACTTGCCCGAAGACAGTTTTTACTTGCCCTATAAAAATTGTTTAAGCGGCTATCAAATAACAAAGACTGCAGTTATTTTTATGTTATGTAATCTTTATTCACACTGTATTTATTAATTAAAACAACATATGTCATGTATTGTAGCTTAATTCCTACACAAAAAATCAGGGCTTAAAGTGAAAAATTTTCCTGAGCCTGAAGCCTGAAACCTGAAACCGGGGGGGGGCGGTCAATCTTTGTCAATTGCGCTACGTCTGTAATTTTGCGCCCCACTTGAGCCATGCCCACCTCTATTTATTTTTCACCCTTCTCTCCAGTTCTGCTGTATTAACACCGGGTTTAATATATTTTGCTTCCATCTCTCTGCCCTGCTCTACTCTACTTCAACGCTACTTAGCTCCCTCTCTACTCTACCAGTAGACTACTACATCCACCTGTTGCACAAAACACACACAGCAGTGTTTCCCCTAGGATGGAGTTGTAGCAGCGGAGGTGAAGCACATGCATGAAAAATCATTTTCACATGCGTGAAACTTTTTTGTATGCTTGCAAAGCACAGCCTGCTGGGATGATTCTATGTATCTACTGGCACCAGAAGGGCTGTTTAGGACTAAGGCCATACAGTACATGTGTGCACAGTAATGAGCAGGTAAAATGTCTCTCTAGCTTACATATGAGGTGTCTCAAGATTTAGGACCATACAATTTTATTGAATATAATAAAAGTAAAAAGTCACTTGACATGCTGCTGTTTTGTGCTATGATCTATTTAAGTGCTGGAAGTTGTTATTTACATGACAACGCCTGAACGCAACACAAGCTCAACACCAAGAGTGCCATGCTGCGCTGCTGTGCGAGCAGCGTGTTTGTCTGTGAGTAGTCTCTATATACAGACTCTACATTCATGTAAAGTCTGTAGGCAAACCCCGGAGATCTTGCCTCCGGAAGAAGAGTGGAAGAGCCCTGGTTTCCGGTGCTAGGCTGTTTGTAGTCCATGTGATATTGATCAATCACGTTTGAGCTGGCTGCAGTTGTTGCCAGGTTAAACACTCAGTGCGGTGAACTAACAAGGCGGAACATAATTGGCGTCACTGCAAACTCTGAATCCATCGCATTGGTTCAGCATATGTACTTATATATATAAATGAAAGTCGGAAACGGAAATTCGCCTCCTCAAACCGGAATGCCAAAAAATTGGGGGTCTGCCCCCAGAGGCTGTATCGCCGTCTGCCAGAAGTCAGACGCTGAATACAGCCGATGGGTTCCGAGAATGGTCTGTGCGTAACACCACTCCGTTGATGGTTATTTACACAGTGTCCATAACAATAACTTTGTCAGCTGACAAACTGCACCGGGCTCGGGGTCAGGTTTGGTCAGGAAAATGCAGCCCGAACCGCTCTAGCGTGCTCACCTGTGTGTGTGGCGGATCTCTGCCGTGCGCGATACAGAGAGCAGAGGAGAATTGTTAACGCGTGACCATGTAGAGACAGAAATGACACAAAGATATAACACCATAAATAGTATATTGTTATGTTATTATATGAAGCGTCTGTCGCGCAAAATAATATGACTTTAGTTTATGAAGAGGTAAGACAGAGCCCTCTCTCTCTAACCAGTCAGTGGGGGCTGTGGGCAGGATATTGTTACACAGCGTGTGCCCGTGACTTCAGGCAGAGAGACCGCTGCAACAGAGCCGAAGGAGCACGTTTTAAAATACATTTATTTGATCAATTAGTTATTAACTTTTACTATTTTTAGCAACTTGCCCATTCGGGCAAGTAAGTTGTTAGTTTACATGCCCGAGAGTTTTACTTGCCCCGTGCAATCGTTATTGTTGAGCCCTGTATTAATAGGCACACTGATAACAAGAAATTTAAAAATGACAGTTCATATTAAAAAGGTTGTAGACCCCTGACATACATTGACTGTAGAAACAACATGGCGGACTCCATGGAAGAGGATCAGCGCTGTATGTAGATATGAACAGCTCATGTAAGGTGACAAAAAAAGCATTGGTAGTTTCAAGTAATTATACACCAATGAAAAACACAATTATTAACATTATAATCAGTTTCTGCTGTTATATTCCCCTAAATCCTTCAAACTGGACCTTTAAGAGAAGAAGTCTTATGTATAACTGTTGCATAATCGCAAAACGAGGCCTGAAAGAGGCATAAGCCACTTCCCACGCAAAAGTTGTGGTCTATAAAAAAAAAATACACTTGACAGGAGAATGAGCACACCTGTAGGAAAACTCTGACCCACGTGTACAAACATGAGATACACTCGACGAAGCTGACACACATTTGGTCACCGTCGACAACCCACATGTGCACGATCACCATTTTAGGCTTTTGTCCTCATGTACACTTTTAGTATGGATCCTACGCACAGTTTAATAAATGAGACCCCAGAGCTGTCAGACTTGGAAAAAGTCAGAGTTAAAGGGTTTTTACAACTGAGGTCTTATTTCTGAAGAATGTTCCAACAAAATCCTAACGGCAAGAATCACAAGTGGACAGGCAATAAGACACGGTGTAACAGAAACTAGCAGTTAATCAAGATTATCTAAATGACTTAATTTCAAAGTACAACTGAAAGTGAGAGCAATAGTAGCCTTTATCATTCATTTCATAATAGGTCGAAGTTGATCCAAAAAGTCGCTCTGTAAATTGAGAAGAAGGAAGGCATACTTAATCAGTCCCTCTGAGTGCAATTATATATTTTCACTCAGTTATTTTACACACACGGAGGCCTGAAAGACACACATGGACAAACAGGTCCTTTACATATTTATCAATGGATGGATAGATGTCAGAGTGAAGGGGCTCAAGCTGTTGGGGGTTTGGTTCATCTCCAGCGACCAGTTCCAGCTACTGAGCTTGTCAGTGGACGAGCTACTACCTCCCCGTTGTGACACAGATTACCTTTGCCATTATTTATCTGGTTTATCTTGACCAAGTGAACTCAGCTGAGCTACAGTAGTAAAAGTGAACACATAAACAAACTCCAGTCATAGATTTCTAGACTGATCAATGTACTTCATGCATGAAAGGTAAAAAACTTTCCCTTCCACCCCTGCAGGTTATCCTGGAAAGCAAGACAGACCAAGCAGAGCTGGAGCTCTTCCCCTGCTACCTCCTCTTCCTACGCCAGCAGCCAGCCACGCGCTCCCCCCAGTCCAACATCTGGGTCAATATGGGTATGACCAGCCTGCGAATGTTCCCACCATATTTCCCCCCACCAAGAGGTAATGTAAGCCTGCAGCAAGACCAGAGCAAGCCGTCGACAAATGCTTCTGTGAGCTACCTGCATCCCCCCCTTATAATCCTCCTAGAGTGGACTGATCCAGCCCTGACATTTCTCTGGAGTGGGCAATGGAATAAACCAATGGCCCATGAAGGGGAAGTTGCATAATTCAAGCCGTTAATATTCATAGACCTTGCCATTAGAGTAGTAGTCTTTATGACACTTGTTCTAGTGCTCTACATTCATTTGCATTATAAGTATTCTGAATCATAACAAACAAGACAAATTATTTTTTTTGATTGTTGAAAGAAAATATATTTGAAACAGTCTGGGACATGATAATAATGTCAGGCATATTAGTACTTACTCGTTTGACTTTTTAAATGCCTGAAAACTGACCAAATTTGAATTTGTCTCTGTCTAATTCAACTGTATTTCTCCACTCAGTACTTTACAATTTGTCAAAAAAAAGACAACACACAAAAAAGGAATTCAAAGGGGGAAAAAATCAGTGATTTTGAGAATAGCAAATGAAATGAAAATGAAAGTCCACTTGCCATCACAGCAGGCGGAAATATCATACATCTGGGTAAATATATGATCAGCAGCCTCTTTTACAGTGCATATTGGTGTAAATCACCAGTTTTATCACGATACTATATTATATTGATTCTTTGGACAACAATACGATATTTGCTGATATTACAAAGTCCGCCACGATATGACTTTGATTCATTGCGATTTAGGGGCCTGCAATCCATATGAAACGATATTGTATGCCCATTTAACACAATCGGTCATAGAGGAAGCTGTCACCCCTTTCTTTTTTGCTTTTGGCCATAAAAGATAAAAACAACACATGAATGATGTTAGTAATTGTAACAGCTTAAGTGCAGTAAAGTTTACTTTAAACTGACTCCATTAACACAGGTAAAACAGCACATGCAATAAGTTAACTTTCAGGGCTTTCTCTCAAAAGACCTTTCTGGAAGAAATATTTTCATTTTAACCCAAACCATGATCTTTTTCATGAAACCTAAGGACTATCTGACATAAAGCCTTGAAGGCAAACTTCTCCCAACAGCCATAAAAGAAGGATTAACAAAAACATAATTAAACAAAAGTATCAAATTCAGCTCAGTCATAACTGTCGAGGTTCTTGAGCAAAACAATTGTTTTTTTGCAAGTGACCCATTATTAGCTTAAGCATGTTTACATTGCATAAATTAGCCTAGCAGCTAGCAGACTTTTTTCCTCCTTCTCATAGTTTAACAAATTACTAGTCACGTTATTATTTTTCTTACTCACTGTTGATTTAAGTCACTGCATCTCCCAGCAGAAAACTACAGTTGAATTTCAGCCTGCATGCACGTTCTTTCAGCCGAACATCATTGAAACAGTGAAGCTAATGTTGCTGTAGTGAGAAGTTTGCAGGATTAGATGCCAGACTAGGCAGGTTTGGCATCGTCACATTGTGTTTTGTCTCTTTTTAAATCATAATAATAATAGTAATAGTAATAATAATAATAATAATAATAATAATAGTGTATAAACAAAGTACTGTACGTCTCAATAGATAACAGTCAAACAAACGACCAAAAATAACTAAACATGCATTGTGCATTTGAAATGTGTATTCATACTAATCATGCTAATCAGGACAAAAAGGAAAACAAATTTAACAAAAAACAAAGAGAGAGATACTCTAATTGAGTATTTATTCGTCTCTAGTTTTAGAAAGATCATGATATCACTGAGCCACTGAGTGCTGGAGGGAGCTTTTGTAGACTGCCAATGGAGAAGAAGATGGTGTCTTGCCAGTAAGGAAGTATAAGCTAGGATTTCTAATTGTTGGGCGGTGTATCAATTATGGTCCTCAGGAAACCCAAAAATGGCAATATGGTGAGAGACATTAATAGTTATTGAAAGAATTTTTGACATGGTATGGAAGTAGTTCTGCCAAAATCAGGATAATAATGGACAAGAAAAAAACATATGGGATAGATTACAGGGTGTAGCACTACGTTTGTTGCAGCTGTCTGTGATATTAGGGTAAATTTGAGACAATTGAGCTTTGGAAAAATGGTTCCATAAAAGTACCTTAAACTGTAACAGTGTGAGACGAGCTTAAATTGAGCTTGTGTGGATTTCATTAAGAGCAGCATTCCACCGGTATCGTCCAAGTTCAGCCCAAGTTCACGCTCACAAGCGACCTTCACATTAGAAGCAGGTGTACTGCCATAGTAAAGGAGAATGCCATAAATCTTTGAAAGTAGTGACTTTTGAAGGGGATCAAAACAGAGAAACTGATCCCACAGTTGATTCGGAGGTAAAGAGGGAAAGGAAGGAAACAAAGATTTAACGCAATGTCTAATTTGAAAATAATGGAAGAGATGAGAAGGTGGCAGGTGAAACTTGATAAGTCTGCAAAGCCATGAAAAATACCATCCCTGTACAGGTCTTTTAAAACTTTCAAGCATTTATCATGCCATGCAGAGAAGGTGGAGTCTGTAAATGTGGGTTGGAATAAATGATTCCTCAGCAAAGGAGCAAGGGAAGATGCTGAGGTAAGTCTGAAGTGCTGCCAGAATTGGTACCAGATTTTGAGAGTGGAAATTATAACTTGGTTGTTTGTAAAGCCAGAGGGTTTGGATGTAATAGAAGAGGTAATCAGAGCTGTAATAGAAGAGGTAATCAGAGCTGTATGTGAAGATGAAACCCAAGACTGTGCCTCTAACTTAGACCACGACAGATCTGTTTATTTAAACCAGAACAAAATTTTGTGGATGTGTGCTGCCCAAAAATATAGTTGGAAATTTGGGAAAGATAAGCCACCATAAAAGTTGCATCTTTGGAGATTTGTGAACTTTGGGGGATTTTCGAGCCCATAAAAAGCAAGAAATAGTTTAATCAGTAGCTTTTAGGTAGTTTTAAGCTAATAGATTGACAAAGGTTCTATTGCTAATGCAAACAATAGAGGGGATAAGGGACATCCCTGTCGGGTGCCATGAGATAAGTGAAAAAAGTGGATTGAATACCATTGGTGGAAATACTCACTTGTGGAGAAGTAAAAAGATGATGTATCCATGTAAGAAATACCTTTCCAAAATTTGTGTAGTACGGGGGGTTGGATCAAACAAACAAAAGACAGAATTAATTGTAGCAGAGTCTATATGTAAATTGCCTGAGAAATCTTTTATCTGTGAGGCTGCCTGGCGGTGTAATTGGTGAGCCAGGAGTTGGCTTGCCTTATTGCCGTCTCATAATATGTGGAGCGTAACCGTAAAAGAAGGTGCTCAGCATCAGTGGTTGCGATAAGATCAAATTCAGTCTGCAAATCAACACCATGTTTAAAGGGATAGTGCACCCAAAAATGAAAATTCAGCCATTATCTACTCACCCATATGCCAAGGGAGGCTCAAACGTCCAAAAAAAACCACATAACTGAAACCACAAAATATCTCCATACTGCTTGTCCGTAGTCATCCAAGTGTCCTGAAGCCTCGACAGGAAAAGTTGTTTGGAAAAACGTCATTTGAACTCTCTGCCTCTCTGTACACTGCGCTCATGTGTGTGCGCTTGCATGAGACCGTGAGACAGGGGCACCGCCTTCATGTGTGTTCATGTGTTTTTGCTGGTCTTGCGCGCAAGCGTGCACACGTGAGTTCAGTGTACAGAGAGGCAGTTAGAGCTACAGGCTACAATGAGGCTAAAAACAGAGTTCAAATGACGTTTTTCCAAACAACTTTTTATGTCGGAGCTTCAGGACACTTGGATCACTACAGATGAGCAGTATGGAGATATTTTGTGGTTTCAATTATGTGTTTTTGGACGTTTTAATCTGGGGTACCGTCAGCCTGCATTAGGTGGAGTTGTGCTGCTACCCACTCTTCCCTGGGATCTCCGCAAGGGATGTGAGGACTCTAAAACTTCACCTGAGCCTCCCTCGGCATATGGGTGAGTAGATAATGGCTGAATTTTCATTTTTGGGTGCACTATCCCTTTAAGTAAACTGGGAGAAGGGCAATTAGCTATTTCTTGATCTAACTCACTAATATTAATAGAAAGTTTCTGCAGTTTGAAAGTATGGGTTTTATTCAAATGTGCAGAGTAGGAAGTAATTTGACCCCGAAGGTATACTTTTAATGATTCCCACAGTAATGAGCAGGAGAAAGGTTCCGTCTCATTCTGATTAGTAGTGATAAAGTCATCAATTGAGGCTGCAGTAAACTTACTGAATTTATCATTTGAGAGAAGAAAAGTGGTGAATATACATGATGCTGAGTACCAGGGTTGTGGAGAAAATTGAATATCCAAAGAAAGGGTGACGAAGTAAAAAACGATGTCTGGAGTTGGGCCAGATGACTCCGGACCTCGCCCCAACGCCTTTGTTCAAAACTCGTCTTCTTCCCTCAAATGTAACTTAGAATCAAGAAGACAGCACTCAAGGAGTCACTGGAGACACTCAGGATCAGGTGCAATTGAGTTTAATGTGTTAACAGGCAACAACACATATAACTCATGAGTCAGGCTCCGGAACCAGACTGAAGACTCACTGTCTGCGCTCTTCCTTTTATGCTCGTGGATAGGGTTGGGATCTGGATCCATTTTTTTTTTTAGAACCGGGTCCAAAGTTCCGGTTCCGGAACCGGTTCCATCACATTTGGAGTAACGGTTCCTGCAAACGTATTGTAAAAAAAAACAAAAACAAAAAAAAAAAAAAACGTCACGTGCGTTTCCATTCGAGTGCGCCACGGGCCGCATATTTCTGTCCGAACCCAACCGAGCCCGACATTATTTAATTACTAAAGCACTGAGTTTGTGTCACACAGTTGTTATGGTTACAGGCTATTTAACAGGCCAGGCGTGCGCCGTGGGTGCTCAGCAGAGAGGGAGACCTCCGTGTTTGAGACAGGAGCAGGCAGCGGGAGGTCAGATGCTTCCAGCGAGGGGAGAGGGAGAAATATAACAAAATAAGATAAAACAGGAAAAACCTGTCTC